CTGCATGTAACCTGTACGGTTACGCCTGTTGCCATTCCTCGATGGTAAGTCAAGCGTCGGTCCAGATGTTCAACAGTCGCGATAGTTGACTCTTGCGACTGTTGACCTTCCTGCCCTCGATACGGGCTGATCCGATACTGCGGTTGTTGCTGCTTTGACAGAGTTGGGTGCGATACTACTCCACCTACGGGAATGCTAAGTATAATTCCCTTCACACTCCAACAACCCAAACCTGACTCGGAAACCCGCTTGACCCCAGCCTGGCCCAAATTTGACCCTAAAGTGACTTCTGAGTCATTTTAGGGTTAGTGGTCAGTTGGGGGATAGTCTGGGGTCATTGAGTTTTTTGACTCAAAAGTATATGTGACCCGTACCTGACCCGAATGTGTCCCAAAGGCCAAAAGGAACATGGGGTTTTGGGGATGCGGGCTCAATACCTGTCACTGGCAGTTCTCGACGTCGATATTTTTCTGACTTTGTGACGTTCTCAAAACAACAAGCAACACAAAGTTTAGGGTAACAAAGGCTACACCTTGAATTAATCTCCTGACCTTCATTTCACGTTGAAAACGACTGGGCTAAACTAGATATCAGGATACAATTAAATTGTCGAACAAACAAACAAACAATGGAAACAAACAAACAATGGAAACACACGAGCGAGAATCAAACTCTTTACCAACCGGTTGACCCCTCGAACACTAACCATTGCTGCATTTACAATTTCGGATTTAGGGTGCAAAATCGATTTAAAGTATTTGACACGAAAATTGAGGATTTCGATTGGGTTCTTGTGCCAATTGTCGCCACCCTCAATAAAAACCCTTCCTTGTCCACTCACTTAAGCATTTCTATTTCTTTGTAGTTGTTCTATGCTCTAATCTTGATCTTACCTTGCCACTCCTAGCTAAGCCTAATATCATGATACTAAACCGCCGTACCCAACTCGTTATCTTGTCGTCCCTATCTCTAATACTCATCCACAATGTACTTGTTCCTAATAGAATATTAGTTTGTCAGTAACGAAGTATTTACGATTCCAATTATTATTTTTTTCCTTCCCGTTATGAACCCTTTTGTGGCAGAAAACAAGTATCATCACAGGGGGCAATTCTTCATCGATAAAACGCTATTCAACTATGGTGATTCATCTGATTTTTTAGCGCTGATGTTATGTCATAAAAATATATCAAACTATCTTTCCGCCATAGCGATCTCTTAAGGTCATCTTTCCTTGCAGATTGTTGTTTCATTTTCCATACATTGTGGTATATTTTACCTTTCCGCCATTGCGATCTATAAATTTACCTATCCTTGCATATTCTTGGTTCATTTTCTTGACTTTGCAATACCGTATATCCAATGTTTCCACCGTTGCGATCTATGAAGTCACCTTCCTTTGCAGATTGTTGGGTTTTTTTTTTCGCTCTTTTGTTATCTCTGTTTCACGCATCATGTTTCTTTGCTAACTCGTAGGACAGATAGTGAAGGTAGTGGAGGTTGTTTGTATCATTGTCGATGGATCTTGTGTTGGTTGTTTTCACCATTTTATTATTGTCAGCTTGTCTCATGTCAGCTTTTTCTTAGTCTCTACATGCAGGTGCATATAATCTGGTTAAACTATGCTGCATCGTCACCACTTCCGCGTCGCCTTCACCTTTTGTCCCTTATAACAACCTGACATGGAAACGGTCATGTGAACATGCCTGATCTTATTTTGGGGCACAGAGCAATGAAGGTGATGTTTCCAAGTTATAAGGTGATAATTGCTAAATGAATGTTCTGTTTTTTATATTATTTAGCTGGCGTTATCTCATTTGTAACGCCTTTCACCCTATAATGTGTGTTGGCTTTGTGTTCTCAGGTTGTTTTAGCACTGCATTGATTTTTATATTCTGGGGCCACTGTACAAGGCCCTTTTTTTTACTTAGTCATGCAGATGTTATTTGACGTTTTGTTGTATTGTGAAATGTATATTGTACATTTTCAACAAAATTTGCTTATCCCAAGAAAAGAACACACTGTAATGAAGATATAATCAGGCCATGCGCTGGCCACGTGTGACCCGAAACTGACCCAAATCTGACTTTTCCCGCCAAAACTTAACCCGTACCTGACTTTTCCCGCCAAAATCTTAACCCGTACCTGACCCGTACCTAACCCAAAAGTCACTTTTGGGTGAGACTATCTGACCTCACACTAACCTAAAGTGTCAATTCCAAAACTAACTTTTGGGACAGATTTCCAGATGTCCCGAATCTTGCCTGGAAGTCACCTGGGGGTCCCTTTTGGGTCAGTACATTTTAGAGACGTAGTCTGCCTTGCACCCATCTCTCAGCTCAAATCCGCCAAAGCTCCCGGTCTCCTTTCGTGTGCTTGTCTCCGGAGGGGACACTCCTTCCCTCTGCTGTGCCGCTTGCAGGCCTTCCTTTGAGCAGCAGTACGGCAGTCCCATTCTGGACTTCACGTTGATGCGGCGCCAACAGCAGCCTCTATACTGCCTCAGGCTGCTAGAGCTTCACTCGTACTGAAAGACCTATCCGCTAATAGACCTCATGCAGCGTGGAGGTGACGAGCTCGCCTTCCTGCACATGACAAAGGAAATCATCTTCAGCGGAGTCATGTGAAGAATGAGGAATGAAGAAGAGAGGAGTTGCACTAGCAGCAGTTGGCATACATATAGGAAACCCTAATTGGGCTGTACTCGCTATAGAGTACCCCACTGCAGGCTAGACAATTATAACATTCTGACAAGTCATGCCCATCAGAAACCTCTCCCTCAACCTCATTGGCTTCAGTCAGTCCACTCCCCCCTACCCTTGCCCTCACGTCCCATTTTCTCAGCACCTCTCGTTGCTCCCTTCCATTAAATCTCATTGCTTTTCACCTCTGTCTCGCATCCCGATTGCGTCGCTGTGAGCAGCCATTGGAGTGCCCATCTTGTAGCATGCGCTGCATCCAAACCCCACGGAGCAGCAGGCGGAGGAGGCGGTGCTGGAAGCAGCTGGGGCGAATGTGGACCTCGTGATGATCGCCCGCCACGTGCTGCAAAAAGTCTTCTCGCCAGTTGCTGTGCTGCAATTCAGGCCAGGTGCTGCAATTCATACGCCATGTGCTGCAATTTATGCCAAGTGCTGCAATTTACGCCAGATGCTGCAATTCACGCCAGGTGCTGCAATTTACGCCAGGTGCTGCAAACTATGCCAGGTGCTGCAATTTACGCTAGGTGCTGCAATCTATGCCAGGTGCTGCAATTTACGCCAGGTGCTGCAATTTACGCTAGGTGTTGCAAAGCTTGTTCACCACCTCCCTTTGTGCTGCACCTCACCACTACCCCTTGAAGCACCCACATGCTTACATCCCTCAACCAACCAAATGGGCAGCTTTTGTTTCGCGTTTCACGGCTTACCTTCCTTACTCTGTCCATACTCCTGCCTCTCTCCATTCTTGCCTCACCATAATCTGCCTTGATATGTCCCGTCGATGCCCCCTGCATGTCTCTACCATTCCCCAGACCCCAACATCACATTCAAGGTGTATTACATCACAAACCCCAAGGGCCTCACAATGATCTACGGCCCGGGCCCACGCCTTGTGTTCTACCGCGAGCGTGACATTCTTCCCATTACCGGCATCTCGCCGCCCTATGTCACACGTCCGTGGGAGGAGCGATCTGTGGTGCCGCTCGACCTGCTTGGGGGTCGCCTGCGTCGCTACCAAGTGTGGTGCTGGTGAGTGTTCTGTGTGCTGCCGGTGAGGGTTCTGTGTGTTGCCAGTAAGTATTCAGTGTGCTGCGGGGGAGTGCTGTACAGTGATGGTGAGTGCTCATACGGCCCTTACTCACAAACACTCACCATCCCCAAAATGTTGCTGACCCAAACCTGACCTCCATTCCGGACTGACCCTAACATGTCCTGTATCTGCCCCTAGAGGTACTTTGGGGACCAATCTGGGTTAGCGGTCACCCCTGGGTCAGTATTGGGTCAACGAGTTTTTTGCCCCAAACCTAACCCTAGGTCGATCCAACCCGAATGTGTCCCAAACCTGCCTACCGCTCGGTCGTTGACCGCCCGGGTTCGATTCTCGCCATCTATCAAAACATGGATCCACTCAATAAGTAGCCCCATTATTAGACAATGTACTAATAGCGCGAAATAGGGGTGTGTTGTACCCCACCAACTGAAAACTATCTACAAAAACTAACTACTTGCGCGTCGTATGTCACAGCCAATAGTACTAGTACACAGCATGGCAGTGAAGAGCGGGTCACGAGAGCTCTAACTAAAGAGACGCAAGCGTTCTCACACGAAACTGGCAAGCTTTTCTAAAGTCCAGCCGTCATAGGGCTCATGTATGGTGACCTCACAGTGCCTACCAACGCACCTCCACACAACTGCAACCCGTCTTCCGCCCCCATTAATCATCAAACAGGAATAGGTTCACCAATGAGATCTGGGGCTCCGTGAAACATGGGACAATGTGGGCAAGGGACAAAATACTGTCAAACTTGACAACGACATACTCATCCTCCCCCTCCGTTGGCTCTAGCCTGATGCATCCCGTCACGGGGCATGGAACGGGATGCTCGTCGAAGTACCGCACCACAGCACGCCTGTGAATCTGGGCCTCATTGTCTTTGAAATGGAGGAGCATAAGGCACCGCGCATACCACTCGCCTCCCCCCCCCAGCTATCAACACGTAGCTGAACTTCCCCTCACTCGGCGCGGCCTTCACCATGTGCCCTGGCCCACGGCCCAAGAGGCGGTCATGGGGGGGAATCTCCATCGCGGTATGCACCTGCACACAACAAAAGAAACGCGTGGGGCATCACGTGAATGTCCCCGACAACCGCAAAAAAAATCCTGGACAAGCAACAGGAACCCTGGCCAGCATGTGAGAGGTTGGCCCCCTAGCACCCACTCATCAAGACATTACCTGCACGCCTGACGCAGCGATCCCCATACGCTGCATCACCCGTGCGATCCCCTCCATCACGACAATGCCCAGCGCGGCGCCGTATTCCACCCAGACGGGGTCTTGCGCATCCCCCACCATAATGCGCCTGGAATGTCGGGTCAGCACCCAGGTGTTGTGCTTCACCGCTTGAGCACACGCACCACACGATAGGAAAGAACAAGAGCATACATGAGAACCAATCATCCCCCAATGAGTTGATTGTACACGCGAGAAATCATTGTTCTTTAATGTCTTATGGCTCTACACCATCCCATGCATGCATCACCCAGAATGGCACACCGTGCGCATGGTGGTCTTGTACGTCCTTCTGCCCTCCTCCCGACCCAAACCCCTGATTTCCTCATTGCGTGCGTGGCGAAGCGCAATTTCTCTGCCCACGTTCCGCCAGTTCGAGTTCCTAGCAGGCCATTTGCAGCACCGCTTGTACATGGCCTCGTAGGTGTTGGTCGAGTACTCAGACGGCATGCCATGCATCTTGATGGCATGCGGAAGGTGCCTAAGAAGATGCACCTGCGGCAGCCGCCACTGCGACTTCTGTTTGGGAAAGACCTGCTTCAGCTCCGCGATCAGCCTAAGGAAGCATCGTACAGCAACGCATGAGAGGGAGGAGCATGAAAGGCAGGGGCATGAGGGGCATGGGCATGAGAGGGAGGAGCATGAGAGCTATGTTGCGAAAGACGCGTCCTGCGTCCTGGACGCATGCGTCCAGACGCAGGACGCAGCACCAGGACCAGAAAGTCGCACCAAAAGACGCAAGCCCGGGCAGGGCAAAAAAACCCCACGGGCAGGCAAAAAATTGTTATAGGCCCTGGATGAGCACGGGGGCGGGTCGGGCTGTTCTGGCCCGCCTCTTTCCCCTGCGACAATTTGCTTCGTCAGCTGTACGTATAAGCTGGTCGAGAAAACCCCCTAGTTTATTACGCTGTCGACTATATCTCAGGCCAACAAATGCGGCCAGATCTGGTCGACTTGGGATGGGAATAGATAGACTGGTTGGAAATGCGGTTTTTGTTCTAACTTGAGTCAATTTCGTCAGATCTCATTCTTGCGGGGATTTGACCCCCCCGACAAATGTCGTGCCGGTCAAATTTGAGCTGCGCGACATTTTGTGCAAGCTCTAGCGCAAGCTCAGCTCACCCCTAGCTTCTCATCATGCCATCTCTCACCTAGCTCGTTCCCAAACTTAGGTTCTAGTGTTAGTTAACCGTTTTAAAGTAACGGTTATCTCAAAGGGTGACGAAATGGCGTTTGTGCTAAGGGGGGGGGGGGGGGGGGGGGTCGAAATTTCGCGATTTCGACAGTCGCGTCGAAATCGCGAATCTAAATTTCGCGATCGGGAATTTTTTTTTCGGGGGCAGCCCGAAAAAAATACGATGTGCGTCCTGCGTCTGGACGCGCGTCCTGCGTCTGGACGCGCGTCCTGCGTCCGAGCGTCCAGACACTGCGTCCAGACGCAGGACGCAGCGTCCTCCGTGCGTCTTTCGCATCATGAGAGGCAGGGGCATGAGAGGGAGGGGCACGAGAGGGAGGGGCATGAGAGGCAGGGGCATGAGAGTCAGAGGCACGAGAGGCAGGGGCATGAGAGGGAGGGGCATGAGAGGCAGGGGCATGCAAGGGAGGGGCATGAGAGGGAGGGGCATGAGAGGCAGGGTCATGAGAGTCAGAGGCATGAGAGGCAGGGGCATGATAGGGAGGGCCATGAGAGGCAGGGGCATGCGAGGCAGGGGCGTGAGAGGTTGGGGCATGCGAGGCAGGGGCATGAGAGGCAGGGGCATGAGAGGGGGGGGCATGCGAGGAAGGGGCATGAGAGGGAGGGGCATGAGAGGGAGGGGCATGAGAGGCAGGGGCATGAGAGTCAGAGGCATGAGAGGCAGGGGCATGAGAGGGAGGGGCATGAGAGGCAGGGGCATGAGAGGCAGGGGCATGAGAGGGAGGGGCATAAGAGGGAGGGGCATGAGAGGGAGGGGCATCAGAGGGAGGGGCATGAGAGGTTGGGGCATGCGAGGCAGGGGCATGAGAGGCAGGGGCATGAGAGGGAGGGGCATGAGAGGCAGGGGCATGCGAGGCAGGGGCGTGAGAGGTTGGGGCATGAGAGGGAGGGGCATGAGAGGTTGGGGCATGTGAGGCAGGGGCATGAGAGTCAGATGCATGAGAGGCAGGGGCATGAGAGGGAGGGGCATGAGAGGGAGGGGCATGAGAGGGAGGGGCATGAGAGGGAGGGGCGTATGGAAGCACCCACTGCGTGCCGTAGTAGTGGCCGTAGTAGTGTCACCGAGCAAGCTCGCGTCTGGGAACAGGCGTCACTTCCCACATCGCTAGGCGGCATCGGCATTACGGACCCGCTTATAGAAGGGGTCTACGGTTTCACAGCGAGTTTCACTCAAGCGGCGCGCTTCCTGTCCTCCCTTGCGCTAGATCCAGCGAGTGCTTTAACGGTAGCTCTGAACCACATGCTCCTGCCGCGGGACGTTGGCACACCTCTGCATTCTTGGCTCACGGAGTGCGAAGCGACTCTACCATTAGGCGCACGCAAGATCCTGGAGAAGGAGAGGCTAGAGCGTTCGGATATTCGGCTCCAATATGTGCTCGGGCTGAAGGTGCACGGAAGCAGATACGCCACGCAGGTCCAAACAATGAGGCGCATGCGGCTGAACCCACTATCAGGCCACACGCAACGGATGTTCTCGCTAACTGGATACGGCACCGGTGATTGGCTGACTGTGATCCCTATCGAAGCCCCGCAACGGATAGGCCCCGTACACTTCGCCAACGCCGTGCGCTTCCGGCAAGGACTCCCCTTCTCAACTCCTAAGAACTGCGACTGTGCGGACCAGACAGGTATCACTGATCCCCGCCTCCTGAACCACCTCCTCCGCTGCGGCACGGGCAAGCACCGCATTAACACTCATAATGAGCTGCGGGATGCATGCATTAGCATGGCGCAACACGCAGGCTTCATAGTTCACAGTGAGTCCGCCGCTCACTGCCCTATTGAGGAACAAACCGCCGACTTCACCATGACGGATAGGAGCAGTGGGGCGGTCTATGTCTGTGATGTCACCATCACGGACCCCATCAGCACCAGGGATCCAGAGGCACAAAAGGGGAGGGGATGGGCGGCCCGGGAACAAGCGGATAAGAAGATCGAGCACTACGCCAACCGGCCGGAGACGGTTGGCTTTTTCCCACTAGCAGTAGACACCTACGGCTGCCCATGCGCGGAAGTTCCGGTCTTCCTCAAGCTACTAGGCCAAACTCCATATTTTGTAGGTGGAATGAGAGAGAGAGAGAGAGAGAGAGAGAGAGAGAGAGAGAGAGAGAGAGAGAGAGAGAGAGAGAGAGAGAGATGACTTAGCCTCTGGTCTCAGCCTCTGGTCTCAGCCTCTGCCTCTAGTCTCCTAGCTATATAAGTGTCCCGTGGGGACCTCTTTTCTTCATTAGTTCATTTGGTTCCAGTTTTCGTAGGCGCTCGCGTGCGCGGCCTGCGGCCACGTGCATTTGGGTGGCAAGGTTTAAAAGCAGGACAAAAAATAAGCTCTTGCGACAAGACATCGATGGGCCACGAGCCCAGCTACTAGAAAGCGAGATGCAGCAGGTCTACATGCGGCGGATGCCAGAAACTACATCAAATGGGTATCCAGTGCCGCGAGGATACCACGCATGTTCCTCCACAGCTGCTGGACCACTAACGCGATCGCGCCGACAGCTTCAATCCCGCCTCCATCGCGGAGGTGTGCTGTCAGACCCTGGACCGTCTCGTCCAGCTGCGAGACCGCTACGCCTCCCAACGCGGGCGCTCCCAGCACGGGTAGGAGGAGGAAGGCAAGCTGAGCAGCAGCCGCCATGCAATCAGCTCGCGCATCACGATCGAGAGTGCTCCCTGGGTTTCGGAAAATTGCAAAATGTGAGTTCACCAGAATCAGTGTCAGGGCCCGCTGACACTCCATCAATAGCCACAACTGAGCGAGAGTCGCCGTGGGGACTTGGGCCAGCCCAGTGGTCTGAACCGCAGCCGGAACAGGAAGAGGGGGCGGAGGCTGCAGTGACGGAATATCAGCACGCTGTCGTGGAGGGACGAAGGCCCCCCTCGCCTCTCCGCCTCCCGCTCCTACAAATCCCGTGTCCGGAAGAGGGGGAATCCAGGGCACAGGGGGATATGGCGCAGCAGAAACAGGACGCAAGGAGGCATGTGGAGCACGATCACCGCCAGGAGCGGGAACCCGCGGGTACGCCGATGCGTGGGGCGCAGGAGCAGCAAGGGGCGCGGCCGAAGCCTGCACATTCACAGGAGCTGGTGCGGGCGCGGGAGCGGCGGGAGGAGGAGGGGCAACAAATTTGAATAACACAACCACCCAGCCGCGCCCACCCCCACTGATTCGATTGCTCCAAACAACCCTGACACCACTGCCAACCAGCCCGCCCACCCAACCCTGTCACCAACACCCGCAATTGCACCACGAACTGCTGCGAGAGGTAACCAACGTCAGTCACAGCTCCCCCCCCCGAAATTGCCCGAAGTCCTCGTCAAGGATGACACGCTTTTTGCAAGCATCAGTGACTGGAATCTGGACAAGCTACGCGACAGCCGCAACGCACCTCTGGCTCGTCGCCTTCCAGAAAAACTACGCCTGCTTTTCGCAATGGTATTACTGACACCTTTGCTGCGACTTGCCGACGACCCTGATTCCATCCAAGCCTGGACGGTTTTTCTGTTTGCCGCTTGCCTGACACTGCGTCAGCAGTCGCCGAAGAATCCTGACTGGAAGGTGACCAGAAGCCGATTGCGTAAATTCCTGCGAGGGGAGTGGGAAGCACTGTACCAGGAAACAGTGGATTCGTTGGATCTTCCTCCCCCCCAAGGCACCATCCAGATGACCTGGGGGTAATCTACAGAGCAGAGGGGCTGGCGCGACGTGGCAGTCTGCGGAGAGCTGTCATGGAACTCGAAGCCACACCGATCAGCAAGCCGTTGCCAGAAGTTCTGGAATCTCTACGCACCAAGCACCCAAGTGCCCAGCGCCCTGACGCACCGTGGCCCCAGCCTGAGGCGGACTCTTACCTGTCAGTGTCGCGGGAAGTTTTCTTGAAACTTCTCTCCAAATGTGAGAACGGGGTTGGCGCTGGCCCCTTAGGCACGACGTTTGAGCACCTGCGCGAAGCTGCCTTGATGCACTCCACAGTCAGTTCTCACTTACATGCGCTAGTCAACACGATCCTCCGCGGGAAGCTGCACAAGGAATTTGGAGGGCTTCTTACCGCATCTCGGCTGATAGCCCTTGACAAGTCTGACAGAGGAACAAGGCCAATAGCCATCAGTGAATGCATCCTCCGACTAACAGCCAAAGCAGCTCTTACTCAGCTAGCAGAAGCGGCCAGAGATTTTTTCTTACCCCTACAGTTTGGAGTGGCCGTGCTAAGAGGAGCAAAAGCAGTTATTCATGTAGTTAGAACATTTACCTCAGCCAACAAGGACGCGTTAGTCCTGCAAGCCGATCTGGCTAACGCTTTCAATAGCGTTGACCGCCACGCCATAGCGACAGCCTTGAAAGGCTCACAGCTGGAACCACTGCTGCCATTAGTGAACTTCTCCTACGGCCATCCGTCCGAACTGCACCTGGACGCAGCTTATAATCACCCACCTTTGATTAGTGAAATAGGGTCCGCCATGAGAAAACTGAAACGAGAATGGAACGACTAAGGGAAAGTTGGGTACAAGTACAAACCCTAGAAACCAGTACCCCATATGTGCTACCCCAATATAGCCTATAGTAGCTAAGTCATATAAATCTGACACACCCCCATAGGCAAAGTGGGGGAGAACAAGGGGTCACAAGACCAGTCAAGCAAAGCAAAGCAAAGCAAGCTCAGGGTGGATCACAAAGTCACCACACATTCCGAGCACAAGTTCAAGGCCACAAGGCCAGTTCACATGCACGATTTCCCATATATATATAAGGCTAGACAAGCAAGAGCAGGTGTATATATATATGTAACAGTACAAACAAGGTCAAGGGGTGAGCAAGTGAGGCAAGGTAGGCACAAGACCCAGCTGAGTACAGAAGCGCTGATGATCACAAGGCGGAAGTGCCTTGGTGAAGATATCAGCAATGTTGGCCTCAAAGGCAACGTAGCTGACCACGCTGCTGTAGCTCACGAGCAAGAAAGTAGCGGAGAGCAATCTGCTTCGTTCTGTGCTCCAGTCTCTGCTCTCGACACAAGGCCAGCATGGTCTTGTTGTCTACGTACAGCATTGAAGGAGAACGAGGCGGCTCTCCGAGGTCAGTCAGCAGGTAGGTGAGCCAGCAAAGCTCCTGTGCAGCCATGGCCCCTGCGTAGATCTCAGCCTCACAACTGGAGCCGAGAACAGAAGACGAGCGGGTAGCTCGCCACGAAACAGAGCCGGAACCAAGGCTGAAGGTGTAACCCTGTGACGACCGCTGCGTAGCCTGGTCGTTAGCCCAAGAAGCGTCTGCGTGCCCAGTGAGGACCACTGGACTCTGCCCTCCAAGCACAAGCCCCATGCCCGACGTACTGCACACGTAGCGCAACACCCTCTTCGCTGCAGCCATGTGCTCTGGTCGGTGTCTCCCAGGAGCAACATAGCGTGCGAGAATGCTAAGAGGGTATGCAAGGTCAGGTCGTGTGCAGGTCATCAGGTACATGAGGCAGCCAACAAGCTCTAGGTACGGGCCACTCGACTCTACGAACTCATCCGAAGGCAGAGCTGAGAGCGAGTGGCGAGTAGGCAGAGGAGTGGCCTGAGGCGAGGAGTACGTGAAGCCGAAGCGCTGAAAGACCTAGTGCACCATGTGTGACTGAGTCAGGGTGATGGTGCGGCGTGCTCTGTCCCGGGTGATCTGCAAGCCAAGGTAGCTGCGCAGTTCACCCAGGTCAGTGTACGTGTGTCACTTCTGCAGCTCGAACTTCACGTGGGCGAGTCTAGCAGTGTCAGCTGTGGCAAAGACCAAGTTGCCGACGTACACGAGGATGTAGAACGGCGGCAGAGAGGTGTCGGTGCGTAGAAACAACGACGGGTCAGCAGTAGAGGGAGCAAACCCAAGAGCCGCAAGTGTAGTCCTCAGTGTGTCGTGCCACTCACGCGGTGCCTGGCGGAGACTGTAGAGAGGCCGCCGGAGGCTCCACTGGGTGCCAGGAGGAAAAGACACAGTGAAGCCAGGTGGGCGGCTCAGCCAGATCTCCTCGTGCAGGCTGCCGTGCAAGAAAGCAGTGCTGAAGTCAAGAGAGTGCAGCTCGTAGTCACGGTGAGCAGCTATGTGCAGCAGTACCCAAAGAGTGGTCATCTTTGGGGTGGGAGAGAAGGTCTGAAAGTAGTCAACTCCCTGCCGCTGATTGAAGCCACGATCCATGTAACGCGCCTTGAAGACCGGCGGAGAACCCGGCGGCCGCTTCACACTGAAAATCCACATGCCACTGACGATGTTCGCCCCAGGAGGGGGAACGTCGTCAACGTAGGTGCCTGTGGACTTCCAGGAAGCCATCTCTATATCCATAGCTGCCTGCCACTGAGAGAAGTAGGGACCCTCTATCGCCTCCGCGTAAGAGCGCGGAGTCGGGATGTCAAGTGCATCCAGGTCTCCCTCAAGGGTAAGCAGTACGGACACGAGATGAGGTGAAGCAGCAGCCAAACACTGGAACTCCTTTTGCCTGTCCTCAAGGACGTCCTTGCCAAGGGCACACTCACCCCCGACGGACGGAGGACAGATAGACTCAGATTCAGCAACAAGACGAACAGCGTAGTCAAGACGACAACGAGCAGCAAAGCCGACGAGCTCAGCAACTAGGGCAGGCGGAGCACAGGACTCAAAGGAAGGGTCAGTGACAACAGTAGCAAGGAGACACGTGCAGTAGGACTGGCAGCACGAAGAGAGTCCGACTCCGGGTCGGCAAGAGCAGGAAGAGAGGACTCAGGAGGAGAAGTCAAAGGGGCACGCAGAGGAGCAGTGGACGGACGCAGAGACATCCGGTTCGTGCCAGGGACAGGAGGAGGACGCTGACGCGAACCACGACCACTAGCGCAAGCAGCACGGACAGGCGACACAGAGCGAGACGCAGGCTCACGACGCTTAGCAAGACCTCCAGTAGGACCAGTGTAGGGAGAAGGAGCAGGGAGTGGGGAGGCCGGCTGTAACGGTAATTGCGACAGGACAGGCTGTAAACACTCTAAGGGAGGAGGAGGACCAGTAGAAGGCGGGAGACCAAGAACCTGCTCAAGGAGCGAGACAAAGTACGGCCGAGGCCGCGCAGTGACTCCAGACACAGCAGGGACAGCGCCAATACCCCTAGTGGTAGCACCAGCGCCAGCAGCACCTCCAGCTCCAGTACCCCCAGCAGCTCCAGTAGCTCCAGGACCTCCAGCAGCACCAGTAGCACCCCCAGCAGGACCGCCTCCAGTACCGCCAGCAGCACCCTCAGGGCCAACACCCTCAGCAGCTCCAGCTCCAGTCAGACCATGAGACGACGCAGTGGCTCTAGCTCCAGTAGTACCGGCAGGCCCAGCAGCTCCAGTACTCCCAGTACGAGCACCTCCGTGACCCGTGGCACAAGCACCCTCAGCAGCCGAAGGACCTCCAGCTCCTGCAGCACGCCTCCAGCGCCGGGCAAACCACTCACGCAGCTCCTGTGAAGAGAGTGGCTCCCGTCGAGACGGAGCAACCGGAGAACCTCCAGGCCTAGCACCGCCAGACGCCACACGAGCAGGCCCAGCTCCCTCAGGCTCCGCACCCCCAGGCTCAGCACCTCCAGGCTGCGCACCCCCAGGCTCAGCACCTCCAGTCGTAGCACCCCCAGGCTCAGCACCCCCAGGCTCAGCACCCTCAGTCCTAGCACCCCAAGGCTCCGCACCCCCAGACTTAATACCTAAGATCCCCAGACACGGAAAGCAGACGCATCGCCAACCTTCCCCGTCCACAGCAAAGCTGGGGAGGTCTCCGGCATGGAGACCCGGGGCTGAAGGTTGATCTGATGCGCCGCGTACCGAACCGCAAACGGCCACAGAAAACGGGGGGCAGCCGCATGCATCATGGACGTACGGGCGACGTCCATGACCATGCCAATGCGGCGCTCAGCAATCCCATTTTGCTGTGGAGAGTCCGGAAGCGTGAAGGTCTGGCGGATGCCTCGTGCACGACAGTAGGCTCGCAGAAGGCCAGAGGAGAACTCTCCGCCTCTGTCAGAGTGCAGATGCAGAACAGGAAAGTCCGAGCTGAAACTCGTCCTCAGCTGGAGACGAGCTGCGCAGATCCAGTCGATCAACACCTCAGTGACATCACCCTTGCTGCGCAAGGGGAAGACTGTGGTGTAACGCGAGTAGTCGTCAAC